CTATATATATGTAGGCCTATGTATGTATGTATGTATGTATGTATATATATATATATATATAAATCATCAAAGAAAGGTAATTACAGTGTTCGAATAAAGGACTTAATAAATACATCGTGTAGCATATATATATATATATATATATATATATATATATATATATATATATATACGAAAATAAACTATGGAACTTATCACAAATATTACTAGCAGAGTGCTCAATGGTAGACCAGAGCGGCAATAAATAAAATAAAAAGTGAGTAGCTTTGATTAGACCTTTTATTACTACTTAGTTTCGTACCACACACATGGAGTGACACTATTCAGATAAAATTGTCTAAAGACTACTAAGAAACATGTAAATACAATTGATTGAGATAAGCTGAGCATGCGCAGAAAGGCAGAGCTGTACTTAGTATTAATTTAGGATTTGGGTCTGATAAAGGTTTGATAAACAATGATAAACATGAGTTAACTTGCAACATTTCATGGGAAAAAAGATTTTGCATGCTAGGAATTGATTAAAATAAAATAAAATTATGTTAAAATGTTTTTTAGAAGAAAGTTGTCGTCATTTAAGACAAGATGCAATAACCACAAAGCTTCCTTCATGAACAAAGCTAAACAAAGTAAAGAAACTTAACACAAAATTAAGCAAACACATATGGGAGCTAAAAGAAAACTTTTAAAATTAAATGGAACATTCTCAAACAAGCTAAGCCATATAAACCATCATCAGAAAGGTGTAACCTGTGCATATGGTAAACATATTATATAATTTGAAAACACGAAATAGCTACATTACATAAACTAGATAAACTTGTTTCAGCATGCAGGCATGCCAACATTTTTTTTCTAAAAATCTTCTAAAATAAACAGATACAAGAATATAAACGATCGCATACGTTGACATAATAGACATAAAATGTTATTTAAAGACGTATATTTTGGACACGCATGTGTCCTGCCTTATAGTTTGTCAATAATCAATTTCATAAATAGTTATCTATACTTAAAAAATAAACTATGTTGACATTTTTACATACCTCGTCTCCTTTCATGATCGTCTTCGTTGCGCGCATGTGAAGAGTTGTTCCAACATATACAGCAGTTGAATTGTAATCACAACTATTGTTGATTAAAGATGCTCTGGTCAAATAAAGGTTGAATACGGACTTAGTGACGGTATTTCATGTTTTTGTAAAAAAAAAAATCTTTATCTATATATCTATTCTTCGCACCATAGCTAAAATATGTGTACCATTCAGTGTAGCTGATCACATATGGCCATATCGGCACTCTATAATTAAGCCTCGTATGGTATAGTTTTAGTGGTTAAAAGCTATCATATTTTATGTGACATTTTGTGTGATGAAGTCATATCACACCAAAATACCGTAAAACCTCGAATTGAAGAATTTTTCTTTTGCGAACTTTAGATTGGTTTCTTTTCGAGATGGGCTTCTTTTCGAGATGGGCTACTTTTGGAAAGTAAAAAGGGGGCTTCTTTTCAAAATGAGTACTGTTTGCGAATTTGTACTATAAAACAATAAATACGGCCACTGTAACAACAATCTGTATCATGGAGTGTATTTAACTGACATTAAATCACCTAAACTACTGTATAAACCAAGCTTGTTTTTAATCTATTTTGTTTGTTTTTTTTTAAATTCATGTACAGTTTATATACTGTACTATCTCCGAAGAAAAAGCCTATGCTTCTTTTCAAGATGAGCTTCTTTTCGAGGCTAATTTTGCAAAACAAAGGGGGGCTTCAATTCGAGATAGGCTTCATCTCGAGATTAAGCCCACTGGGCTTCAATTCGAGGTTTTACGGTATGAGCGTATCACAATTATTTGTTGATAGTTTGGACAGCGCTTCGGAGAACGCCCGCACTCGTTTTGAACCCAGGACCATGAAATAACTCTCGGACATTCAAATCAATCACCATCCAAGGACTGAACTTTACCTTTCAATCATCATAAAAAAGTTTACTTGTGGACAGTGACCATTATAATGAATAACTTTGAAAAAAAAAACCACAATTAAAAAAAGTATTTTTTTTTTATATTAGAAAAGGAATATAATGAATCTTTTAATAAAAAAGATGGAAAGAATTCATATTTTTTAGCTACGAATATGCCTTTAACAAAATGTTGACAATTTTGTAATTTATTATTAATAAATACAATATTTTATTAAGTCTTGATCACAAATAGAATGCATTAATTGCATATAACTGAAAATTGAAAACTGGTATTTTACATAGGAAAGCAATGTAATAAGGTTTTTTTTTTTTTTTTTTTTTTAAATGCATATTTTTTTAATGTTTGCTGACCTGATTGAAAGTGTATAGTTAACTCTTAGCATATAGGCCTATTTATATGCATTTAACGAACCTTAATATTGAATTAAAAGGCCCCCTTTTGGACATTAATTTCCCAATTCAGTTAAATAATTTTATTGTTAATGCAATGCCATTTTTTGCCATTTTTGTTTTTTGGACATTAATGTCCTAATTCAGTTAAATAATTTTAATGTTAATGCAATGCCATTTTTTGCCATTAAAAAAAATTAAATATACCAAGATATTATATGTTATTAAAAATAAGAGACTTATTATATAGACGTACTTGAGATAAAGTCCTGGTCCAAGTTCCTCTCTTACAGGCCCAGTGATATTAAAGGCGTTAGAATTAACTCGACTACAGAGCAGATAGAATTCTTGTTTATTTATATTCTCTTCAAGAAAATATTGCACTATCAAACGTTTCATTTCGGCAGCTACTTCGTATCCTGGCTCCCAGTGTTCATAATCTTAAAGGAGAATATAATATTTTTAGTGTTTTAACTAGGAAGTTTCTCAACATACACAAACGATTAAGAACACTAATACGTCATATCTAAATTCTCATTATTCGTACCTACAAAATAATTGCTTCCACAAGACAGACGATGTTTATGTCCTAGGTTCATAGATGACATATAAGACAATATATTATCTGATTGTTGTTTTCGACTTTATAGTCAGGAATATGAATTTTGACATTTAGTTAGTAAGGGATATGAATTTTGACATTTATGCCAATGTAAATATCTTTGTTCAAGTAGCAAAGTGTCCAGCGTCTACTGTGCAACGATTTTAAACAACAGCGATCGCCTAGTAAATATTAGTTCATATCTTTGTGTAGGCCTACAGACAATTAAATTTGGTCTCCGAGGTTTAAGTTAACTGAAATGACAATTTTGACTTTTAACCTGCAGTTAATTGAATCAACCATATTTCGATAACTTCTGGTCTTCATAATACTCGTTTTTAAAAATATATAAATTGAAATATGTATATTAATCTGAGACCCCATTATACGGCAGTCTCTACGACAGTACAAGTTACAACCAAAGCTTTAAATAAATGTCATTTCGGTCACTTTGGACAAAGCCGTAGGGTCTCCATTTATATCAAAATATGCTAGCTTATATTGTAAACAATCGGAGGCCAAAATGTATGTTTATTCTGTGGTTGAAAGATATGAATTATGTTTATTTCTAGACGTCCGCTTAAACTCCGATTGATGTAAACGTCAATCAGAGTTCAGTGGTTAAGATGCTTGCCTTCTGATCCCAGGGTCC